TCCTCTGTGGCCAGAAGAGGCAGTGCCCTAGTGCAGAGCTGGGGTTGTTCTCCTGCACCGTGTCCTACAGCTGACAAAAATAAGTAAGCATTACCCAGCAGCAAACTGCTCTATACTGAATGTATTTCCTTCCTCGCCCTTCCTTTTTCGTGAAGGAAGCTGGGCTGATTGCTCCCACATTTCCAGTAAGGGAATAAATACGGTGTCATCTCTTCTTATCATTCATAGCTTTCTGCTCATATGCACGTACAATTTTAATAGTGAGTTTCAAATAACAAAGAAGAAACACAAAAATTCCTTTTCATTTAGAAGAGCTGATTTTGTTTAATTCTTCAAGGACGTAAACTCTCTTTTGTTGGTGTTTTTTAACTTGAAGATCACACATCCTGCTAATCTGGAACAGATGTGAGAAGCTCTGTTTTGTGTAATGATGTTTTGGGTAACATTACAAAATAATAAAAAGTTATAAAAGGAGTCAAAAAATAAAACACATTGGGTGGGCTGTTTTCTTCTCCTCTACAACTCTGAAATTTTTCCCAGACTTTATTTAGTGACTACTTTAAAAATCTCATTTCCAAAATGCATATTTTATTGTTTTATAGATCTAAAGACAAAGCACCAACCCAATAATTACTTATCAGAAAGATCTCATCTTCACTATGTCATTCCACTGGAACTTCGCTAGTGATAGAAGCATCAAATGCCAAAACAAAGGGTTATCTTAAATTTTAAATGGCAAAATAAGAAGTCAGTGCGTCAGAAAAGCAGTGCAAATCTCCTGCTTGAAACTGATTTTCCCTAAATTTCGCAGTTGAAAAAAAAAAAATCAACAAGCAGGAGCAAACACTGAAGTTATTTCCCACCCACACTCTTCACTGAGACTTATGAAATTGTTCCCATCAAGACCCCGTAGGGGGAGAGCCATATGGCTTCAGTTGCAGTTACTTTTTGTAAGGGTATGGTTGTTTTCAGTAATTACAGAAGAAAGAAATTGAGGACTGTCAAACAGACTGCTAAGGCTATACGCATATCAGCAGCACTAGAATCTTGGGTTCAGGTCTCTCCTTTGTTTCCCTTTTCAAAACTCAACAATAAAAGAGTGAGAAAAAGCAGAACTGAATCCAGTGCTGGAATCCAGGCCTCAAAAGCTACACATGAGCATAGCAACATGCTGTTCTGTGTGTCTACAACTCTGCACAATTTTCTGCCTCAAACCTGGCTCAGGGTACATCTAGCAGAGGAATGCTTACGATATCCAAGCTCCTTTTTGTCATGAGCTATCCATCCTGAAGCAAGGAATTTTGTCCTTTGGAAGTAATAGGTCAAGCATAGTCACAGGAGCCCAGGAAAAGACTCAGATATGTCGGAAGTGAGTACAGGTAGCAGAGTACCAAACTCACCAAAGTGCAAGCAGCTGGAACAATCTATTTCTCCTCTGCACTTTACCACACATGATCCAGCTCCCCTTCCCCTGTGTATCATTCGCACATTGTTGTTAGATCAGAAAGGAGGAGAGCTGGAAGTCAGATACCAAGCAGAAATCTGGAGGCACCATAGAAATCAATAGAAAAGGACCAGCTCTGATAGTCCTTATAAGTCTAGTTTCTGTAGGGACTGAAATCTGAGTCAAACTACATCTCCTTAGAAGTACTGCAGCCTTTTGGTGCAAAGTCCTTAGATATGTTCAGAGAAGCAGCTTTGACAAAGCAGCATGCAAATCTTTTTATCAAACATGCTGAAAACTACACTGCACGTCAAGAATAAAAATCATCTGAACACTGACAGCAAATCCCCTATTTTAGAAGTAATCCTTCTCATTTGCTGCCACACCAAAAGAAGGGAGCAAGAGCAAAACATTGAGAAGAAAAAAAGTAGTTTTCTGCAACTTCCACCACCTGTGACAGGTTGTGATATACTCCAGTGACCTGAGACTCATAAAGCTTCTCAGTCTCCATGCTGTGCAGCATTGTAATTATTCAGACACAATCCTTTCAAAGCTGGGACAAGCAGAAAAGATCATAAAAGTCTTATTTTCATTAACATGAAAGGAAGAAACAAGTATAGCAAAGGTAAAAGAGCAAACATACACAATGCACACGTCAAAGTAGAGGCTTGGTGACTCATAGCTGCAGGACAAGCACATACACTGAGCTGCAGTAAAAAAACCAGCATAAACTAACCGATAAGCATCATCTCATCTGACAGGGACAGAAGCTGATGGCTTACAAGTTGCTTTATCTTTTGCTGTGTAATTTCACCAGTTTTATAACAGCTTTGCTGCTTACCTTCCCAACAGTGGCTTCTTATTTCAGGATATTAAAGTGTATGATAGCAATGTTTGTGGTCAGGAAATTAAAGGTAGACAATATCTGTTTTAATCATCAGGATACTTCTATTACATAGCTTATGAACTGTATTTTTTTCTTCTTTTTTTTTTCCTGCCTTTCTGAAGAATAAAACAGCCATTCAGGAAATGACCTTACCTATCATCCAGCTGTACTCAACTTGAGCTTTTTAAGTCCTATATTATTTGTATTCATCAACTTTTTAATTCTCACATTGCCACTTAGGAAACATTAGCAAAATACTTAGCAAAACAAGAAGTTTGAGAAGGACTAGAATACTCTGTCTTACACAGTCAGAAATTGCACAAATCCAGGAGATAGAGGAATTTGAAATATATTAATTTTTGTAGTACAAGACACACCAAGTCAGATTCCCCAGACATCCAGCAGTTTCAGGGCTCTTTTTTACCTATGCAAACAATTCATAAGAAGAGCTAAACAGGAAAGTAGAACCTCGTCCTCCAGTCCTTGCATGTGGCCACCCCCTCCCCAGTTTGTGGCTTACAGCTCCTAATCATCACACACCACCTGCGGCTGTTGCTGGCATTTCACAGCTGTCACCATTTGGCAAATGAAGCTAAATTCTTCCTAAAAAAGCCTAAAAAAAGCCACTGACACCTGGCTGTTACAATTACACCTCTTCAAAGCTCAAAGTGACACAGCATACATCCCCTCCATCAGTTTATGTCTAAGCATGAGTCTTAGCCAAGTAGGTTATGTGCCTACCAGTGCAAAGGCCAAGGCATTACATTATCACAAGCAACATTACATAGGCCAGTGCATCTTCCCATGCTACTAGCAACCAGGCTTCAAAACCCAACTAGATATATAATTGAAAAAAAAGAAACACCTTCTGTTTGAGAAGGGGTATGGGTAAGGTCCCAGTCCATCAAGCACTGAGTAATTTGTCAGGTGCCCACTGTTTTCCTTTTTATAATGAGGGAGAATGAGGGTGCCCAGTCATCCCAATTAACTGTTCTTGCTGGCCAGCAGGTGACGTCCCACCACTACTGCTCCAGAACAGAAACAAGCTGCACAGATTCCTCCTGTTTTCCAGTACTACTGGGCTTGCTAGGCATAACACCAAGACACAATGGAAAGCGCAGCAATAACAGCAGGGCAGCAAGGTCCTGGGCTGCAGCAAAGTCCTGGGCTGCAGCAAGGTCCGGGGCTGCAGCAAGGTCCGGGGCTGCAGCAAGTGAGGATACACTCAAATGCAACAGCTGTAGTCACAGAAATAAAAAAAAGAAGCTGCTTACCCTTGGAAAGCCCCAGGTACGCAGGGATCTCCATCAAGATATCTTCACCTCCATCGCCAACCCTTAAATGAAGGTTGGGAAGGGGTAGATCCTGGCTCCAGCCCTTCCAGTCACTCAGCTGCACTGCATGCACCTGAGCTCCCCTGGGTTGGCCCTGCCTTCCCACAAGGTGCTCAATCATAGTTCAAGTTGTGACTTAGCATTTCTGCTACAATAGGAGCAGGTTAATTCAGTTCTATTTGAAACACAAAAGAATTGGAACTTTTCAAATATACAAGTAAGCGTAAGAAATGTCTGTATCGGCATACTGGAGTATCAGTTAATAATCTGACTTCTTCATTAGGGTAAAATATAAGATTATTGGTCTCTAGCAGGTATGTTGCAAAATGCAGGGCTCAGAGTCTTCCTGATATCTGCAACTATTCATTTATAACAAATATCCAAGGGTGTTTTGGCAAAACAGACCACTTTGAATGACATAAGGAACAGTTTTATTGTTCAAAGACCTTGTATATGCTCTCAAGTCAATTAGGTGCCAAATCATCCACTGAAGCACCCTCTGCAAGTGAAATGGGGAGGAAAGGCTGATCCCAAGTAGGCCAGTTAGTTGTATTTCCATCTTTTCAGAAAGGAGAGAAAAATAAATTACTTTGTATTCTTTACATGGACAAGTTATTCTGTTCCTCTCCTTTCACCTTATTTATTGTCCTTCCATGATAAAATGGATTAAAAGTCTTTCTTGAGCAGATACCTTTCCATAGAGAGAAAAGTAAATATGTAATAATATTTAGCAGATATTACAAAGAATTATCACCACCATCTGTTTTCAGCTGCAAAACACACAAGGGAAAAAAAACACAATAATTTCATATAAGCAGGATGATGCATTGTAAAAATAGCTGTCACTACTGATGTCAAAGTAGGATCAATGTAGCTGTAACAATAGAACACCATTACTTTGAGCTTTTATAAACAAGTTGGTGCAAGCACTACTGGAGTTACCACTGGTGTCAGCTCCTGTAAAGAAAACTGACATAAGAACAACAATACAAATGTATGGTACATACACATTATCTGTGTTGCAGTGTCAGGTATTGACATTACAGCTTGTTGCGAATAAACACCAAACAGGAGCATGACAGGACAGTCAGCACATCATATTACTGGCACAACAAGGCCAAATGTGTTTCTTGAGGAAGAACAGATGTCATACAGTTGTCTCCATGTTGAGAAAAGGCCACAATTCTTAGATCAGAATTTCCACAGAGATTACCAGTATTCATAACTGGACTCCTTTAAGTGTTTCCCTGCTGATGGGACAAGTAATAAGAAATTCAAGAGAGATCTGTGAGGAGCAGAGTATTTCATTTCAAAAAAAAAAAAAAAAAGAGAATCCTTTCTGTATGCATGTAGTTTTATTTGTTGCTGTCAGAATCACTTGCCCACACAAAAAACACAATGTCAATTAGCTGATGTATCAGTCAGGATTACAAAAAAAGGAAGCAAATGCAAAATACACACACAGAATTTGAGAAGTCACTCAACATTTCAAAAACTTATCACGTAAGATTTTAAACATATTAATGCAGGCTGGCCTGATACTTCATACTTAGGGTCATATCAGGATTTTGTATGTGGTTTGTGAGGCCACCAAAGGGAAGAAAGTAACTATTACACTAGGACAAGGCTGGCATACATACTAGAGGTATCAGATTTCCACCACCAAATCTTAACAAGAAGAGTTTCTGTCCAATAAAGCAAGGTTTTGGAATTGCCTTCTAAAACAAGCATTTGGTGCAAAAAGCTTACCTATTATGATAGAATGAAAGTGATTTTTGAGAGTACTTGATCCACTACAGTCACCTGCTGGATAATAACAAGGTTCTTACTTTATTTATATTGCAAAATTACAACTGTCTAACAAGTTAGGCTTGTAAAAGTATTGTGAATGCATGCATTACAAATCACTGCAGTGAGTACAACGCAAGAGAGAACCAAAGTACATAGTTTAGAACCAAGCAGTTTTAAGTTCATTGTCATACAGCTTTTGGTAGATTGTCATTTAATATAGGAATATCTTGGAATCTAGCATTGACTTTTGGTTCTGCTGAGAATACAATTACTATTACTACACAGTATTTAAAAACACAAGAAACAATATACAAAAAATTAGATAGCTACACCAAATCACTCTACATTAATACTGAAAAGGGCTCTGCTTACTGAACCTTATTAAAACAGAACTCTGCCTGTAATACTCATAGAATGTGTGTTAACAGATACAGACATTACATTTATTCAGACAACATTCAAAGCACAATGAATGAATACAAAATACAAATAACTTCAAACTGCTGCAAAAAATACTGAATTGTTGAATAGATGACCTCACACTCCTGTGTATTTTGCATTTTAGATTTCATAGTTTCTGAATTTCCTCAGAAGATCTGATGGGGCATCCCCTGACCAGCGGAAACGTAAGTGCCAGTAGTTTGCCTCTGAAAATCCTGGGGGGGGAACAAAGAGAGAGAAAGGCAAATAAATTATTACAAACCTATAATACTAAGTTGTTTGAAATAAGTTAATCTTCCCCCCAAAAGCAAGTCAAAAATTAATCACTTTCAAGTGCTCTTTACTAGCAGGGACCAATCTCTGCATTCTTGGCACCATTTGAACAAGAACCAAAGCAAACACCAAATTTCAATATATATATATATGTATCAGCTGGAAAGAGTCCAAGGGAGAACAGTAAGAATTATGAGAACTCTAAAAAGCAGAACTTAGAATGAAAGAGTGAACAAAAAAATCACTTGCTTAATCTGAAAAAGGAGACAGAAAAGGTGACAGGATTAGTCTCCAAGCATGTGATAGGCAGCAGCTTGAAGGGAATGTGTACTGACTCTTTCTACACACAGGGGAGTTGAGGATTTTTTCAGCCCTTACCTACATATTTTATTTCAGGCCCAGAACTTCATTTTTATGCTCTATTAGTTCTGAACACTAAAATGTGATCTTCCTACATCAGGAAGCTGAAACCTGTTACTAGACTTACTGTTAAATTATTTCATTCAGGTTGAAATGTACATGTTGAGCTGTGGTCTGTAACTCCTCTGCACTAGCAGACAGAAATCAAATCTAACTCCATTTAAAATGAGCATCCAATATTAAAAATTTTCCTGGGTGGATCCAAAGAAAGTTATCAGCATGCTAACATCAGGTATGAACACAGTTGTACATATGGGCTCTGAAAAATAAATACATTCTGATGACCACATTTATCAACACTTGCATGTGCCTACTGGATGCACTAAGTAGGCATTTCATGGGTTTGATTTTTTCACCTTCAAATCTATGAAGAACAAAAAAACATAAGAACAAAAACACAAAAATTGTAAGAAAGAAGATGCCTTCAAAGAAAGCTTACTATCACAAGGAACAAGGTGACATTTTGCTTACTTTGAAATGTAATTACTTTACAAAAGCCTACAAAGCTGATTTAATTACCTAAATTAACAAGCAGTATAATGTTATAAGTTATTTTTTAGTTACATTTCACCAACATCTGTTTGTAGAACTTTATTTTCTGCATTCTATAAACACTTAAGCTAACTTTCGTTTCCTCCCAGTTTATTTTAATTCCCTGTTCAGTCAAACTGAGAAGAAACGACAGAAATGTTTAATAATATTTCTCTAATAATATATATATATAGCATTATGAAATTGCTAAAGTATGAAACAGAACAGAGGGCAGCCTTTGTGGTAAGTTAAATTTGGTTCAGATCTACTAACCTAAAAATAGATAGGAAATACTAACTGGCCAGATGATAGTTTTTGAAATGCATCACTTATTCTGGTGTGTGCACTATTTAAAAAAAGAATACAAAAGAAACCTTCAAGCCTAAATTTTTAATCCGCATTAGCTCATTAGATACAAACTATGCATAAGTATTGAATGCTGGGTTTAAAGGAAAAAAAAAAAAAAAGAAAAGCAATCTAAATGTTTTATGTAATATGATTTAAAGTTTTGCTGTTTGTTTCTTGTTTGGTTGGTTTGTTGTTTTTTTTTTTAATCATTGAAAATAATTTATTATTTTTACTCACTTCAATCTAGAAGGAAATGTGAGTTTTTCATTTTGATTTAAAAATGACTAACATTGGTTTCGCTATCTAGCAGGCAAAGAAACTGGGGGCAGGGAGGGAGAAAGGCCTGAAAGCTTCAAAAACAAGAAAAAAAAAACAAATCCTAAAAGCTGTAACAAAATCCCAATCCAAATCCACATTAAAAAAAGCTACCAGATGTGTTATTCTGGAGAATTCTTCATGACTAGAAGCCTCAGTTTCAGGACAGTGCTGCCTTTGCAGTCTGCTGTAACTGCTGGTTTTACTTACTTGGGGAGTCTGGATTCTTTGAAGACTGTGGTTTTACATCAGGAATTGCAACATCTTGCTCTCTGTTCCCATCAGACAATCCATCTTCATTGTTTTCAGTTTTCTGGGTCCAAATCTCATTAGTTAAGTTGTTGCTATTGTTCAAGTCAGGAGCTTCCAGCATTTGATCCTTCTTATTTTGGACAGCCCAGTGCATTGACTACAGAAATGCAGAGAAAAAAAATAATGTACCGATTTTTATGCTTTTAAAAAAATTTGATTTTTTTCTTCCCTACATTGTAATAACTAGTCAAATACAGTACATACTAGAGAAGCTTGCAGGTGAACAGGAGAAGGAAACATGGACGCACTACAAACAACATTTGAAAGGATAGCTTGTGCCAGGCAAAGACAAAGAACAAAACCTAGATGTATGCCACATGACTTGAGATGCTTAACAGGGCTTGAGTGACTTCTATTTCCATTTTCAAAGCTGCCTTTGACTGCAGTGCCCCTTTTGAAAGCAAGACAATTTTGAAAGCTTTTACTATTGAAGTCTGCATTATGACTCCTGTTTGGAACTGAGCTATGTTTGGTGAGATATTTCCATCAAATATTTAAACTCAGGCATGATGGCTCAGCTAAGGAGGTTCTCAAACATCAACAGTAAGTAGAATTGAGGCAGGCAGGATTGAAAAGGGAAACATTCATTCACCTGTCTATATTTAGTGCTAGTGGTGCAATGGTGATGAGGAGATAGTTGGACTAGACAATCTTATAGGTCGTTTCCAACCTTGCAATTCTATGATTCTATGATACATATGACCATGTGGATTTGTAACAACCATGCAGAAAGTAATCAAACATCGTGGAATTAGAACCTAGTAGAAACACACCAACAAAATCAGCAGGGAAATCAATCCTCAGAACATCTATTTCTAAGCTGTAAGGTGTAAATAATAGACAGGAAAGTGGCAATCTGAAGAATTTACTGTAAAACTAACAGTCTAAAACCAGACTATGAATGGTCTTCTATAGCTCTCCAACGTTGTCTGAGTTTCCTCAGAAATCATTCTGCACCATCCTAAAAACCCACCACTGGAGAGCTGTGGCAGCTCACCCTCCCCCACTGGAGGATTTCTCCTGGGTCAACCCAACCTCCTCTATGTGTGCTCAGACATAGACAACACCAACCGTTTTCACAGAGCTGCTCAAAGCCTCCCACTGCTGGAAAGGAATGGTGATTTTGCTTCTCCTCCAGTAATCATAGCGTGCTCGACTCTCTTCATTAATAAGAACCTCCTTAGCTTGCTGCAGCTTCTGGAAATTCTCCACTAGAAAACAACCCAAAAAGATGCTAAAGCCAATACTTGTTTTCAGTGAAATCAATTCAGGTCTACCAGCAGCACAAGGTTAATTGACAAGCAAAACCAACAAGCACATAGAGGAATCTAAATATAGTGGAAAATAATTAAATTGTGCATTTAATTAGTTAGCTTTTCCACATATGCCAAAACGTTATCTCAGATACCTGACTGCACAAATGAGAGCTCTCACTTTCCCCTACAGGATAATTTTTCATTAAGTGATTACTAAGGATGCAGTTACATATTTGTATTTGTAGAAAAGTTATAAAGATTTAGATTTATCTAAGAACCACCTGTGTTACAGTGATCTATTACTATTTGTTACTATTCTATTATTATTCATATATTCGAGTTTACAAATTAGATTTCTTTTGAAACATAAAGCCCAATCAAAATTGGTAAGCTTAAATCAAACAACAGACGACATGTTGAGAAGGCAGTTCTGCAGTTTCCTTTTCTAGTGCCACAAGTTTTCAATAAAGTTATTTTAATTACTCTTTACTGAGCTTAGTTAAGCTGATGAAATATCAAACCATAAACTTTCATCAGCAGTGTGAAAAAGCATTTAACAGAAACACAGAATGTTTGGGTCAATGCAGCACAAAATACTTCTTGATAAAACCTTTTAACATTTGGCAGTTGGCCTCCCCTGAGTTACTAAGCTTCACTGACTTTAGAGGGAGCTGTGGGCCTATGACTATGGAAGTTTCTTTTTACTGCATGAGCCAGAATTTGGTGCAAAGTCTCTTACATTGATTCCACTGGCGCTTGTGTTAGTCAGTAAATCAAATACTAGTGATGAGGTTATAGTTAACAGGTGGCAGATTGTCTCTCAAACTCCAGATCTCAAGAGGTTCCTTCTCAGAGAATACCAAAGTGAGACATCCTACCTATTTTGCCTTTCAACCTCCCCTTGCCAACTCACTGAAACAGGATGACACATCAAGAGGGAAAGGCAGTCTGGCTGAGAGCTCTGCTGGAGGCAGCGGGTGGGAGCCTCCCGTAACAGCTGCTGCATTCACAGCTCTGCTGTCCCAGGGGAGTGTTTATAGTTAAACAATTAGGAAGGATCCAAATGAAAAGCATACTTAATTATTCCACAATTTTTAATTGGGACCATAATTATCATCAGAACAGTTGCAAGAATAGAAACAACTCAGACAAAGATGAGCACAGATTAGAGCTGTCTTTTTGGTTATAAATGGGTAAAATTGTCTCCAAATAACTCAGGTGCTGCTTCGACCTCACAGGTATAGCTTGGATATGATGAACTGTGTGCTTAATTGAGACATTAGCTGATGTTCTGCAAACAGATGGCTACTCACGTGGTGTTAGCTTCTCTTTATTTCCAATAATTAAATTACACTAAAAGAAACTGAAGTATGTTTAATATGATCCTGATTATCTTGTTCCTGGACGCAAATTAACTAGTTGACGTAAGTGTGACATTTGAATGCCACTGGGCTTGGAAGCAGTCCAACTTCATAGGTCTAGGAAGGCTACATGCCATAAACAATTTCTGGATTCCTACCATGGGAATAAATTATTAAAGAAAGAAATCCTAGAAATAAAAAAAAAAACTAATGACTTACTTTTACCGCCTATGAGTGTGCAAACGTTGGAACAGAATATTAAAGCCTGCTATTTAAAGACAATATGCTCAATACACATGACAATTAAAACATATTGGGCAAAATAATATTTAGTAAAATTTTAAGGTTGAATTTAATATCTTAGTCATTTTAGTTCTCTTAGATAAAGATTATTTTTAAACAGAGAAAAATACATACCTGCTTTGGGGTTTCCTGGGTGTTTGTCAGGATGACATTCAAGGGCCCTAATCTTAAATTCTGCAAGAATTTGCTCAACCTAAACAGGATATCAGATTTGAAGTGAGTAAACACACAGAAAATATGTTCAAATTTGCTCTTTGAAATGAGTTGGAGAACAACAAAGAATGTTGAAAGATTCTTTTCCTGCTCATTTTACAAACTTTTAATACAGGCAAAATAGGCAACAACCACCATCTGTCAGTGACACTAATTTCATTATCCACACACTCATCCTTGTTTTTGTTTCGGTGAAACTTGGTCATCCAATATAGTGAGTTAGCTTTAAGAAAAACATGTAAAGATCACATGTGCATATTAAACTTAGCCAGAACCACATGGGTTATCTAGCTCACATACCACAAAGCTAGACAAAGAACAGATCACAGTCTTCCTGTCAAGTTAATTTTCTGGGCGAAGGCTGGTGTGGAATAGAATACATTTGTAATCAACATATGAATATTGACACATATTACTTTAAATTAACTACAAGTTCCTACATTTTATAATGTCATAAGGTATCATAACCTCTGGAAAAGCAAAGAGAGATTAAGAGCTAACAAAACACAGGAAACCACAGTAGCTGGGGTTAGGCTTTGATTTTCAAATCTTCAGATTTTCATAGTATCTTGTTTCTTCCTATAATTCAGAAGCCAGCATTTCTTTATTCCATTCTATATTTCAAGCTTAGACAAGAATTCATCCTAAGATATCAGTTAGCTATTATTTTTTCTATGCTGGAGAAGTTGTTCACATAAATTCAGCATCCTTCAAACTCTGATGTCCATATAAAATTTAAATGAAATATTTTAAAACTAAGTTACAACATTTTTCTGTGAAACAAAACTACATGCCACTTAACTAGCTGGCCAAATTTTGTGGTAATACGCTGGGAAAAGTTTGTGTAATTTTTATACAAAAATACATTCAATTTACATTTAAAAAAAAAATCAGTGATATATTTTACCAAAAAAAAGTTATCTTATGCCTATAGAATAACACAGTTCATGGATGAAGAATGTGGAATAAATATCACCTCAGCCTCTCCAATACGAAGAAGCTATGAGCCCAATTCTGCAAGAAACCAAGAATGAACACTTTTTCTTTTTTCTTTTTTTTTAATATAGAGAAATGCTGTCGAAATACTTGATGCTATTTGTGTTTAAATTGATCCAGGGCAGATCAGCACAGGGCATAAAAATACTATGAGTGTCCAAGAGTAAATTCGCTTCTGTACAGGCCTAAAGAAGGGTGCATAGAAGCCTGTACTGCTACAAATACTTGATGCATATAGAAATCAGTGTGATTGCAAAATACCTGCCCTGCTTCAAATGCTAGCAGTCACGTACAGCGTGCTGAGAGAAGGAATCACTACTCAGTCAACCTGTTACCTCAGTTCGCGCTCCCACGTCCGAAACAATGCTGTAACACCTCCTGTTTGTCTCAATAAATGGTACTTGACAGATTATTTCTTTAGGACCCACTGGCAATTATTCCACCTTTTGAATTTCATTTTGAAGCAATCTGAAAAATCACTGTCACATGTGCATGAACTGTCCATTAATTAGTAAGCCCGTAAGGTATTAATGTGAGCTAGGAGACGAGAAATAGCATTTGCAAAACAAGCCTAGATACGGACTTTAACACTGCCCTCTGCTGGGATGTCACATTAGAAGTTCTCTCAGGGAAAGCTTTAAATTACCGTCTGCAACAGACCTAAGGTGCTTACTAATTGGCTTTCAGTGACATAAATTTTACCAGCATTTGACCACTACGACAAACAAAAGCATCTGATTAAATTTACTAAGCAAAATATAGCTTTTATTTACCCTGAATTTACCATTCATTACAGCAGAGTAATTAAAACTCCCTTTTCAAAATCTGAACCTAATTCCAGCAGCTAGATTAAAAAATAATAGCATACCACTAAGTCAAACCATCCAAAAACATTACATGGGCATATTTAGGAAGAAGAGCGTTTAAGTACAAATCATACAACTGCTTACATACATACAGTATGCATCTGCCAACAACAAAAAAAATTCTAAACCTAGTTGTAAGTCATTAAAATTATCATTAAAAATCATTAATATGACAAATGAAAAAGATGCACTTTTTGTTTTTCTTCCCAATAATGAATACAGTTTTCAAAAATAAAAAAGGGACAAGAAAGGAATATACTTGAGAAACTCAATAGCATCATCAGTCACTGACAACTCTGAACTTTCAGTTAGTTGCACACAGTTAGCTTCTTCATCTTTTAAAACTGCAAATGTATTCCAAAATGTTATTTGCATGTTGGCAAATCTATGCACTTGGCTCACAATTTAAAACCATACCACATGTTGAACTAAATTATTTAATAAGCCATAGTTTCACTTATATCTGTAATACAATATTGTATAAGACATTTTTAATGTGAGCTTCATTCTAAAATCTGAACATTGGCATATAGATCAGAAAAATTCCCTTTGCAAAGGGAATCCTGAAAAGAGAAAAGTGGCAAGAAAGAAGGTTTGCAGTACATTTCAAATAGTTCTACCTTTAGAGATTAATAATTTCAAATCCCCCCGATAGATAAACAAGGACATTCAAAATGTTATTAACCTGGAAGGGAGGTGGGAAAGGCTCTTACCGTAGATAGTTCATCACATCCGAGCAAGTTGTAGTAATCTTCCAACTCCTCCAGTCTGCAGTTCAAAATTGCATCCATCTGGGCTGGTCCAGCAGGCTTTTTCAAGCTGAGGCACAGCGGGTTTAAAATATAATATCAATACCCAGCTCACAAATAGGTTTAAATGTAGCCTGGGGAAACAGGCGTTTTCCACACAGGTCTGCAGCTCTCTCCAGCGCTTTTTAATACAGAGAGCTGACACACATGAATTGTCTTGAATTCTCTGCCTGCCATTGGTCCCTGCAGGATGCCAATCCGCTTGCACAAACCTGCCGATGGCAGTGCTCCCTGGGATTTGTAGTCACCCAAGTCATTTCTACATCAAACTCGGGGTCTCCTCCAAAATGAATTCTGGATTCTCAGTAAAATCCAGCTGTATTTGAGATATGGATTCTGCAGATAGCCAGTTAAAGTCAGTTTCACTGACTTTATGCTCTTATGCATCAGGGCCTATATATTCTAAAAGATATATTCTGCTTTATTTTTAAGTGATTGCTTCCAGAATAATGATGACTGGGCTGCACATTTCTGTGAATGAAGTCCCAACCTTGCCAAATCTTCTGGTTCTGTCAGTTCCTTCAACAGAAAAGGTAAATCCTTGTCTGTAAAGGATAACTAGCTATCCTTTTACAACTATTATTCAAAAACAAACAGTTCATTGCTTTTGTACAGTTGCATGTCTGTCAAAATCAAGCCTATGAAAAGACAGCATAAAAAGATAATAGACTGTCTACTAGGAAAAGCAACAGAAGCTCCCAGTTATTTCAAATTGCACCTTAGAGGCTTGCATCATGCGCACACCTGCTTTGTAAAACTCATTTGACTTTGAAATGAAATACATTTTAATTTGAACTATAATTAGTAATCAAGGTCTAAGTCCAACAAAGCCTACATTCATGTTTAACTGTATTCTCCAATGATCTACTGATTTTAAAAGGTGATACCTAGGGGTAACAGTAACCACATGATGGAATCTTTCCTCTGGAGCCTAAGAAGCTATATTTTTACTTTCCATGCTCAAGAGCTTTGTAATGCAAGATGTTTAAAGTCATAAAATACTGCTTATTCTTTAAACTAACACTAACATTGCCTTGAATATTTATATAATCTTAGATGCAGTAACCTAGGAGAGTCCACGCAAAATAGATACGTGGGGTATGATCGAAGCTATCACAGTGCTAAGCAGTGAAGGACCTAGTGGCCATTCAGAACCATTCATAAAACATGGAATACATAACCCCCACATTTATAATTGCTATGGTTTACTCTATGCTACTATTACACATAACATTAATCTTCTGAAATTATCTACGTAATCATCTGCTACTTCAGGGCTGTATTGTCTGGAAGTTCTTGGTTTACTGTATGTTCAGATAGCCTGTTAAGATTATAAAATACATAGAAAGCACACGAAAGAAAGAAGCAGCAGTACCAAGCAGCAATCCATGAGCCTCACTGAAACTATTTAAACTAATTAGAAAACATCGGCGTATTTCTCAGAGTATATAAAACAACTGAGTTTTTTCAACAAAGTGAAAGAATGAACAATTACAAAGTTCTCCCTCTTCTCCACTCCTGACTAACGAATCACAAAAGTATAATAAAGAAAGTGTTCTAGCAAGAGATCGTGTAAATATTTAAATAGATAGTACTTTGGGGGAGGACAAAAAACAAACAGTTGTTCCACATCCCCAGCAGCACTCCTGACATATTGTTCTTGGCCAAGTATTTATTGCGTGTTTGCATAAGGTGAAAGGGAAGGATCTTTTTAACCCCTTTTCCCTGCAGTTTCAGTGGGCTTTTTTGTGCCACAAAGCGAACTGCAGATCCAAGAGCAGGATTCAACTGACAAAATCCTGAGCCTTGAAAGCTTTTTGTTCACAGGGAGTTTTCCCATCTATACTCTGTTCAGACGGAATGAACAAGGACTCCAATTCAAACCACAGCAGTGGGCATACTTGTTTTCCCTCCTCCCAGGAATTTCCAGTGCTTGGGATACAAACAAAAGGTTTGAGCGTGGAAGCTGCAAAATACTAATAGAGCAGAGTAGCATAGTCAATTGCTGTCTTTACCAGAACTACTCATGGAGCATCATCAAAAAAGGAGAGGAACAGAAGCCATGGACACAAAAAAAAAATATAAAGATTACCTTCAGGAGGTAAGTGTTGTTTGAAAGGGTATCACAGCACAGGAGATGGCACAGTGTATGTGTATTCATGTGTTTTGGTTAGCCTAGCCCAGAATGTACAAACAGTACAGAAAGTGAAGAAATCTCATACTTGTCCTCTGTACCCAGCCACTAACAAAATGTTTGTGTTCATTCCCAACACGTAATCAACAGTGTTGCTTGCTTAGAGTCAGAAGCAAAATCAAATCCTGTCACAGCGTAACAGAAGGCTTGCCATCCACTTGTTGGTCCAAAATGGCTATTTAAATATAACAAGGGAAATCTGGAAATCTGTATTTATTCCCATATAATCTATCAAATCTTCTAGTACCAGTTCTCAAACAACTTGAGTTGTTTTGCTTCTGAAGGACAGAGCACACAGAATTCAAGGCACAACATAACTTATTTAAGTTCTGCATGTTCCACTTTTGGATGGTCACACATACTCAGAGATGCAGGATCAGAAGAAGACCCAAGCACTGCCAAACTGACTTCCCAATTTAGGGGCAACTACTGCAACATCATCATTGCATGCATAAATGCTCACAAGGTTAGAGCCAGCTTAGGATCCTCGATTCATTTCAACACTTTCACAGAAAGCTCTGTATCATCCATCTGTGTCAGTCATACGGTGTCTTCCTTAGAACACAGTCTTCACATAAATAAGCATCCAAACACCATTACTAAAGTAACACCTCTCTTTTTATGCCTCAAAAACTGATTCTTGTCTGAACTTCAACACTGAAAAAGAACGCTTTAGTACAAATTCACAGACAATGATAGAAATGTTCTAATTCACATCTTGTTACTTCTTGTTTTGATACATGTGAAGCATGAGAAATGTTACGTACAACTTAACCAGAAGTATAGATTTAATACAGCTGATGCTATCAAGGTCTGCAAGGCAGAAATTCTACTTGACTAATATTGGTCTTGCCATCAAACTTCAGGATTTGGTTGTATTGAAGTTACTAAGGCTATTATGTAAGTAGTTGGTGATACTAAGCAGTAATATTAAACAAAAAAATACTGAAATCTATATCCATGAAGTTTACATCAATATTGCTGTGCCAGTAGGTAATAAAACCAAAGCACGTGCAAAAAGAGACAGGCAACATTTTTCTTTTAAAAAACAGATTTTGTTATTGTTGTAAGCAAACTCTGACTCCTATCAGCTCAGAACAACTAAACAAATGAGAGGATGCTGTAAAGCCAATTCAGCCACCACTTTGCACAGCTGCCAGAGGTTGTTTTAATTCATCGCTGTAGAAGAGAAAATGTAACACAACTGTATTATGCGTTTCTGTGCCTATCTACACAGCAAGAAATACGAGCAAAAGAAACGTACACATTCTTGAATATCTTCCACACTGATACTTCCACTGGAACTCTGCAAAGCACAAGAAACTGAGCAGCACGTATGTCCTCCAGGGGGCTGCTCTCAGTTTCTTTCATTTCGGTTCTAAACAAAAACACTATGCAAAACCCTACCGATCGTGTTAGAACTGTGCCCAGTGCGACATTTTGCCCTCTGAAAGTCCACGCTTCAAATAGTCTACAAATACAAGAAAATAACGTGTCTATCCACTACTGCATCTTGCAAGATGCATTAACGATACACGCAAGTGCCAGTCACACCTACCCTCATAGTCAATACCCTCAGAATACCCAACAGAAAAGAAAGGCAAGACAAGAAAAAAACGAATTCACAGTAACATGAAGTTTAACCTCTAACAGCAGGGGCCCAGGCCAACAAACAGCCCCGGCTAACTTGTGTGTGCAGCACCAGCGCTGATGGGAACCCGCGGCTGTGGGTAACGGTACGGCCAGAACAGCGGGGGAGTTCCGTCCGGGCGGAACCTCGGGCGGGTGATGGCAGCTTAAGGAAACCCGAGTGTGTGGCTCGGGCAGAAACGGCTCACAGTTCAGCGTCTACCATTAACGCGGCAGAAGACTCCTCACCAACTCAGCCACGAGCTTTGTGCGTCCCGTCAGGGACGAGCAACGTGAAAACGCCTGAGCTCGGGAGGCCAACAAAGCGCATTTGCTACGCGCAGCCCGGGGCAGGGAGCAGCAACTGTTCGTCAGCGCTGCGTTTTACAGCCGCCTTAGAGAACGCTGCGGAGAAGCCCAGAGTTTTCCCACCCCTCCGCGGCACCGGCACCGCCATTAGCCAGCAACACCCCCGCCAGCGGAACGCGCTCCCGCGACGAACCGGGGCGGGCCTCCACCGCCGGAGAAGATGACGGCCGCCCGTCCCGGCTGAGCGGAACGAGGCACCGACTCCACCCCGGCCCCGCAGCGCTCCCCGTGGCCGCCCAGGCGGCGCGCGGCCACATGACCAGAAAGCCAGGCTGCACGAGGGCCGAGCCGGAGCCGGAGCCGGAGCCGGCGCCGGCCGCCACGTGACCAGTGCCGCGCTCCCCCTCCGCCTCCCCGCTCACGTGACCCCGTTTGTTGTTGTTGCGGCCTCCGCGGGGCGGGCGCCCGCGTGGGCGGTGGCGCGGTCACGTGCCGGGTTTAAATCGCTCCCTGGGGGTGGGGGAGGGGGCCGTGGCGGCGGCGCTGCTGCGCGCTGCGCCGGGCGGGAGGGAAGGAGGGAGGGGGGCGGTGGCGGTTGCTTCTCCAAGATGGCGGACGGGGAGGCTCCGCTCCTCCGGCCCCGCGACGGCGGCGGCCGCGGCGCCGCGGCCGAGAGCGCCGAGCCCGCGCCCAAGCGCCAGCGCCCGAACTCAGAAGACGGCGTGTGCGGCCGGGGCGCGCCGCTCGCCCGCCGCCCGGACCGGGGCGCGGAGCCGCCTCCCGCCGCCGCCGCGACGGAACCCCTGGGCGAGGCGGCGGCCGTCAGCGTCGATGGCGACGTCCGGGCGCGGGAGGAGGACGGCGCGACGACGGAGGGCCGGAGCGGCGCGGACAATAGGGCCGCGCAGCGGGGCCTGGCCCGGGCGGAGCCGCCTCCGCAGCCGCGGCAGCGGGGCCGGGGGGAGGGAGCGGAGGCGGCGCCCGGCGAAGACGCGGCGGAGGCGGCCATTGGCTGCGAGCGGGCGCAGCGTTCAAACGGGGCGGCCGGAGCGCCGGCCCCGCAGCCCGGTGAGGACCCGACCCCATCCCCCGTCCCGCCACGGGGCGGCCGCGGCTCGAGCCGCGCGGGGGGCGAGGGAGGCGCCGCGCTCGGCCGTCGGCCGCAGTGCCCCGGGCCTCTCCCGCTCCGATCGGGGCTCGTCACGGCGGCGGTATTCGTGCCGGGCCTCGAGGCGAGATCGCCTCGGCGCTCGCTGCTGAGATCGTCCGTGGCGGCGGCGGTGCGCTATTAGAAATGACAGCCGTAAGCCTCGTCTCCTGACAGCGATTACTTTCTGAAAACTTTTCTGGAAGGGACAGGAGCGGTCGTGCGGACCGGTTCTTTAGGGAGCCTCGAGTTAGTCTTAGGCTTCAGCAGCTGAAGCGCAAAGTGCTGCGCCGTCAGGGAGCTGGCTTTGCAGGTGGGTTTGCAGCACGGCTTGGGCGGTACCGGCTCTGAGCTCGGTCTGCTGTGTTGGGACCGACAGGCTGGGAGGCTTTGGGGTTTTTAAGGTAGTGCTTTGGGAAGTCCTTTAAAGGTATAAGGTACTGTGCTTTGCCTGGGAAGTGATCTCTATTATAAAGCCTTATGTGGAGGCTATTCCTCAAGTTGCTCCAATCCTGAGGCGTGTTTTGGTTTGTATTGGCTGTTTCTGGCACGAAGTCCTTTTATTCCTTTGAGGAATCAAGACAACTCCTTGGGGAGTGTTACAGTTTAAACTGCTACTTTAGGCTATCGCGTTTTATAAATCTATGATGATGTGACCTGTATGTGATGAGTCTTTAATGACACAGACTTTGACTCTTCACATAGCAGACACAGTGGTTGTTGTAGTAAAATGTAGTGTGCTGATGTGTGTTTCTCTTATTCATAAAGTTTTTCTGTGTAAGATGCTCACTGACTTCATGTGTTACAAAACAGAAGTGTCATGCTTCAAATATGTAAAATCTTAATAAGACATAATGTCAGAAGGGCACCTGTGCTCTCAGGAGGCAGCAAGCGTAGAAAGCAAATGACTGGCCTCCTACTCTTTTCAATTTAATCAGAGTCATTTCTGCAATTTACTTATCCAATCAATTAAACAAATTGGACAACACAGCCTCTGAATAAAAATGTTTTTCTTTAAGAGTAAAGGTGAGGTGACCTAGCTTCAGTACTGCACAGGAGTTCAGTCACTGGTGTTGGGAAGTGATGGCGGTGATTCTTAGCTCCAGAGACTAAGACTTATTTTCATTTGCTTATAGATTTTCAACAAATTAATATATGTGCTGTGCTTATTAAGAAAAAGATAATTAAAAAAAAAAAAATAGTAGCCCATATTGTAACAAACTGCTCAGAACAAAACACGGATTTTCACCTTAAACGTTACCTTGGTATCGCATGCTGTGAAACGAGTATCCCGTTCCTCTCCGCAGTCCTTATTCTGGGCACGTGATGAAGTTAGATTGGGTTACTCTGGCTTAGGGCCACAAGCGGAGTGCTCAAAGCCAAACCCATCTGCAAGGTACAATGGTGATAAACTTAGTGAAGGTGGTTCAAGGTAGCACGTTTTTCTGTCATAAATGAAATACCCCGTACGTGTGTGTGGCCAGCTACTGCAAGTCAGATGCAGCAGCACAGCAAAATTCTCTATTTCTGTCCAGCTGTGTCTTTGTGTGTGTGTTTAAATGCTGGGCTCTTACAACTCCATTGCAGATTGTTCTGTAAGTTGTGGGACATTGATTTTGCCCAGTTTCACAGTAAGAGCTGAGTGAAGTGAGAACCATAGGAGAAAATAGGAGAAAATAATGGTAATCTAAAAACACTCTTTTTGGAAGTACAAATAACCTCAGTAACCAACACTTGATACAGTGAAAACCTCACGTCTACGTCAGCCCACTGATACCAGTATTAACACAGAAATTCTGCAGTAAATCAGAGGCCTGAAAATGTACTAATAAGCTAAAAAAAAATAAAAAAAAAAACAAACAAAACCAACAACAACTAAGTGGTGAAACTGACTATTTGTATGTGATTGAAGTTGAATGCAATGAATTACAACTTCAGGTTTTGTGATGCATTTAAATATGCATTAACTGTGCTGCTTGGCTCAAGCTTTGTAACTTCCATTGTTGTGCTGTCTTGCAGATAACTTCCTTTTAAGCGATGAAATCATAGCCAATGGTTT